TTATTAATTCACAATTACATTAAATTTTTAAATTGTCCGCAAAATGGATGTCATTATCAAACCAATAGTAGATGTAATTTGAGAGAACATCTGAAGACACACTCGAGCCGACGGTTTAGTTGTGGTGTTAATGACTGTCCGATGATATTTACCACAAGAACTCAATTGCGTGAACACTGGAAACTACATGAGACGGAGCCGACCATTGAGTGCGGAACCGATGGCTGTATTGATATGTTTTACACCGAAAATCAACGAAATAGACATCAAATGCAGATTCACAGCAATAGAGATGATAAACAAGACGTGTATTTATAAATTTAAAGTAACATTAATATCGAAATTAATTAAATAATTTGTTGATTAAGTGATAAATTGTTTAATAAAAACACGAAATAAAAATTAAAATTTTTTCAAGTTTTGAGTCATTTTTCCCAATAATTTATTAATTAAATTAATGTAATATAAAATGTTTACGTAATTCAGAGACAATCCCTTCACTTCTCTTATGGTTTGAGTTTTGTTTACATTTTTTGATTCAATTGTTGTTTAGTTTTAGACTTAATTTGTATTCAAATTAATTGTGAATTAGTTTTAAATGTGATTTTGAATTGAATTATGGATTCAATGATTAGTAAAAAGTCATTAATTATTAGTATTAATGATATTTTGGATGAATTAATGGTTGAAAACAAACGACTTTTAAATGAGTTATTGTTTGGAAACAAATGTTTAAATGAATTGAAAACACATTTAATTAAAATTCACTCAAAATATAAGACAATCATTGATGGAGAAGACAAAAACGACTTTTAAATGAGTTATTGTTTGGAAACAAATGTTTAAATGAATTGAAAACACATTTAATTAAAATTCACTCAAAATATGAAACACTTATCGATTCAGAAGACAATCAACACTTCCGGACATTATCTCAACAAATGGATCAAATGACTGACCGAAAGATCTCTTTAGATATTATTGAAATAATGTTTGGAACTAATGTCCGAATGAAGAGATCATCAGATAATCAACAATTGAATCCAAGAAGTGATGACACAAATGATAAGAGTGAAGACATGAATGAAGACACGACTGAAGACATCAATGATTTGAATGTCTCTGAAGTACTAAAAGATGATTGTGTGGAACCGATGAATGGATTGAATATAGAAAAGCATACGTTAGTCAACAATACATCAAATCCATTGACCTCTCAATCCTTACCACAAGAGATGGTAAACGAAGAGATCATTGATATCAGTAATGAAGACTCGATGGAAGACTTAATGCAACCAAAATTGTTGACTGAATTATTGCCCCAAAGTGTCCGCCAAAGAGACACATCTAAGCCATTGGCCAGACATGCAGTGATTTGTCCGCCAAAAGCCGGTCAAAAGACTTTCAATCTTTTGTTATTCTCTGATCCGACGACTCAAGAGATGGACAACAAAGAGATGATTAGAAAGAGAGCCAAAGAATTGGCAGAAAAAGTGAAATCAGAAAAGTTTTTAAATAAACCGATTGTTAAACACAGCGGCGAAGACTCGGCGGAGAAAATGCCATCAAATCAAATGATATGTCCGCTCGATATCAATGAAAGGAAACAATGCTATGATTTGAAGTCAAAGACATTTATTTGTCCCATAAATGAGTGCCACAAGAGTTTCCGAATAGACGTTTCATTTCGGAAACACTTCCTCTCAGACCACACCGGAAGGCAATATGTGTGCGATTATGAAGGCTGTGGTAAAGTGTTTAAAGTACACTCTGGGTTAAGACAGCATTCACTCAGTCATAAGACAATTAAATCATTTAAATGTGATTTTAATGGCTGTCAATATCGAGGCGTTAGTCGACAACATTTGAGACAACACCTGAAGACACACTTAATAACGGACAGACTGTTTAAATGTGAAGTCAGCGGCTGTGGGAAGGCATATAAGCAAAGCTCTCATCTGTGGTCACACCGGCGGACACATAAGACTGAACCGATGTATAAGTGCGGGACAGACGGCTGTAATGATATGTTTTACAATGAATTTCAACGGCGTAAACATCAGGTGTCGTTCCATAACCGTAAGCCGTATACTAAAACGCCAATCAGATACCGGTGCCAATGGCCGGGATGTGATTGGATGGGAACCAGTCTGAAAGTACACAAAAGTTTGCACACCGGCGCCAAGCCGTACGCCTGCGATTGGCCCGATTGTGGCAAACGGTTTAGAGTTAAGGATAAACTCGATAATCACATGAATATACACAACAATGTTAAGCCCTACGCCTGTCAATGGCCCGGATGTGAGTACAGGACCGCCGATAGATGTAATGTTATTAAACATAGAAAACAAGTTCACAAAACTTAAATTAATGTATATTTTAATTAAAATGCAATTTTGTTTTCATAAATTTAGAGTTTAAATAATTAAAATTAAAATTCATTTCAATTTTGTAAATTTTTTGTTTAATATTTGTTTGAAATAAAAATTTATAATTTATTGCAAAGTTTTTATTAATTAATATTGAATATTTCGGACGCATTTAATTACAAAAAGTCTAAATTTGAATTATATTTACAAACGATTTAAAAATCAGAATTTTAATTATTCTCGAAATTATTTTAAGTGTATTTTTAGTGCAAACTATTATGAATTTTTATATTTCTATGCATATGTGGTCCGATTCCGATATTTTATTCATTTTTGTGACTCAATTCTTGAGACTATTTTATTATTAAATGTTTTGATGTATTTATTAAAAAATTAAAATTATAAATCAGTTTTTTGTGTAATTCATAAAAGTATAAACTCACTCTCAGATAACGTGCGGGATATTGCGGTAATTAGCAACAGAATACAATAAAATGCAATTTACTTTGTATTACATGAAAGTTTTAAGTTATTTTTAATTTTTTTTAACTAATCATTATAAAATATTAGTTTTTATTTGTGAAATAGTTATCCATAAAAGACCTTGAGCATATTATCGCATAGGGATATAAGTTTCTTAAGGACACTTAAGAACATTAAGTGTAATATTATCCGGGTTCTTTTGTGCCGAATATACAGTACCTCTAATTCTATTAATTAGATGCTAAATATATCCTATAAGTGTCAGGATATATCAATACATTATTCAAATGTTTACTAATAAACATAATCTATAATTAGTTATCGATATATTTATTAATAAATTGTTTTTAATTACTAAAATTTATTAGTTAACTCGTTTTTCAACAAGGTAATTTACGCTCAAATACTAAATTATATGAATATTAGCTACATTCTATTATCTATGTAATTGATCTCATAAGTGTTAATCAAACAAATATTTAACATGTTAAATTGTTTATTACCATATACTGTATTACAAAGTTTGAGCATAAATGTGATGTTAATATATGGGCAAAAAAGTTGTCGGTTATGTAATCTTATTGATTGATGGAGTGATCAATTGTAAAAGGAAAGTAATCACAGCTAATGGCGTGACCAATAAAAACATATATTTATTATAATCAAGTATTTATATATGGTTAAAAATTGAGTGCAAAAAGTGATTTTCATTGAATAAGTAGTTTTGTTTGGAGTTCTGTATTGAAATTGCACTCAAAATAAAATCAAAATCAAATGGACTGAAAGTTTATTTGCAATCAGATGTACAAACGGTTTGTATTTATTAATTATTAGTTATGAACGTTTAGTACATCTGATATGATGATAATAAGTGTTTGGATCATGTAGTTGTTCACTAAAAGTGTTCGTACTCACAAATTTTATCATATACAATTAAGTAAGCTAATTTTAACCAAACAGTGCACAGTTTAGTAATATTAGTTGATTACATAATAATATTATTTTATTTATATAGAAATGCAAACACATAATGAATATATCGGTGTATAATCAGGAAATGTGATGAATTTGTGATGTGTTTCACGATTGGGATGTATAGTATAGTTATATGTGTCGGACAACAAACCCATTATGAAAAGAATTGAATTAAATCACGTTTTTTTCACTAAAATTTTAAGTAATTGTGAGAATAATTTCTAGTCTATTATACCCTAAAACCTAAAAAATAAGTTTCTATTAATAAAAATTTCTGACTTTATTTTCCACGAATGAAATTGTGAATAATATTTTGTTTCAAAAGTCTTATCGCATTTGCGATGAGCTATAAAACTGATAATAATGTGGTGACTGAATGAACGATGTTAATTTTATTAATGTTATTAACTTATATTAACTGAATTTTTAAGTTTAAGCTACAGAATAATGGCATTGAAAAGACTGTGTGTCCTATTATATAAACATCAAAGTTATATAAAGGGGTTTATAAAATTATAATCCTTGAAAGGATCCCTATATTCAATACAATTCCTGACATCAATCTCTCGACACAAGTCTCTCTCTCTCTCTCTCTCTCTCTCTCTCTCTCTCTCTCTCTCTCTCTCTCTCTCGTACTGTACACTATTGGGCTTGTGTACACTTGTGTACAATCGCTATCACAATTCATGGCTCAGTATTTTTCAATGGACTCCCAATAGTGTCATTTGTTATGGGAATAGACGGCCAAACCGTTTATGATATAATATATACACACATTATATACAACTATACGTATAAATACTGTATATATTTTTCTATCTATATAAAATGTTATATAAAAAACACACCAACAAGAAAAATAAGTGCCAATAAAAGGCAATAAAAATACAGTCAATAATCGCTTTCGATAGGCTTTTGAATGCCGGGAATATATCGATATATTTATTGTTAAATAAAGTTAACTAGTATAGTAAATGTATTTTAAAACCATCATTATATTTAATCAAACTGCTCGCTATTGAACCAAGATTAAAGTATTAAATAAAGTTTTATTTAATGTACAATCAAGCACAATAATGTATATAAATAATCGATATCATTTTATATAACATACTGTAGTTTAAAATTAAAATTATTAATCATGCTTAATACGTTATTAACCAGATGGGTTAAATGGGAAGTAAATGCATCGAAATATTATATCTAGACCAAAATACATTGCAATAATAATAATTGCTTTTAGTGTACAGTATATCGTATATCGGAAACTCTATCTAATCTTATTATTGTTAAATACCGGTCCCAATAGTGTACTTACGCTGAGTATATATACATTTATTTTGCCCCGTTTTGTTGCGTACACTATTGGCACATATAATTCATTAATGTAATTCCCAAACACATAAACAACGCTTTATAACCAGACAAACAAAAAATAAAAATCAAACGAATAGCACAAAAATATTAAATATAATAACCGTTTTCCATTACAAATGGCCATATATTTTAATAATATATATCCGTTTAGTAAATATCATACAAACAGCAATAATAGCCAATAATAATAGGCTTTAAATTCCGTATAAATTCTTAATACACTATTTTATATATACGGTTATAATAATAACCATAATAAATGTCTATAACTATCTATATCTATATATATGTAGAGAATTATTAAAGAATATTCTATAATAACAATTCTATATCATTATATTCGTTAATCCATACGACAGCCAAACCTGGAAATCCTATAATCCGTGTCAATGGCCACACTATCGCACACTATCACAGCCAACAACAACCACCACAACCATTGCAGACACAGTCAAACCCGTTTCAAGCACACCAGCAAACATCGACACCAAAAACATCATTTCCCGGTATTAATGGCTATAACTATAATAAAAGTGATGACAACAACAATAGACAGTCAGCCGCAGGGGTCGGCTCCGGGACTCCCAAAGCCATAGACTTACTGCAACAGATCGGACCGTTCGCCGAGTCGTCTACCATAGTGTTTGAGTGTTCGTCGAGTGGTGGGCGACCCCTACCCGAAGTGCGCTGGTATAACGGCACGCGAGCCATGCGGGCCAAATTCACCGTGCTCACCGATGGCAACGATCAGGACCATGGTGATGCTCTAATTAGTAACGGTGGTGATTTATCTACCGGCGGTACAGGTGCTGGTGGGGCTGGACCTACCGTGACGGCCACCATGCGTATCATAGCCACCCGATACGATCTGGGTGCAAAGTTTGAGTGTCGCGTGTGGAATAATGCCACCCTGGTGCCCCTGTATCAATGGATTAGGCTGGATATCCAGGTGAAACCGTTGCAGTTGACAGTGAGGGGCCCGACACAGGCCGTTGTTGCTGGTGAGATGGTCAGTCTAACGTGCTCGGTCGATGGCGCCCGACCGGCCGCTAATATAACCTGGTATAATAGGTCCGAAGTGGTCGCCCCTCACCCCCTGCCTAGTACTGATTTGATGAGCGATGGCACTTATAGGTTAGTCAATTATTATTGATTTTTTAAATTATTATCTTGGTGATTGTTTTAATTTGAGCATATATTTAATGTGTGTATGTTTTGAATTGGTGTTGGCAAGTTTTAGTGTTTGGAAATTTTTAATTTTTTGCGTGAATTTTATTTTGATTTCTATTGAGTTTAGTATAGTTTTGTGTTTTTATGATTGACAGTAAATTTTGATATAATATATCCTTTTATTGAGTGTATTTATTGAGATTTGATCGGAAAAGTGCAAAAATTTTAAAAACAAAATGTATTTAGTTAAATTGTTGATGGAGAGTTTATCCAATGGAGAAAATTACGCCAAAACTTTATAATAATAAATCAATATTTATGTGAATTAAACCTGGTCAATTTAATAGTTACAGTTTACAAAATGATTTCTCTCTCTCTTTCATATTTTTATTTTTACAATTGTTGTGCATTTATTGGGATTTATTTAAAAATTGCTGTAATTTTTTCCACACTTAACGATAAAATACATTAAATATTTTATATTATTTTTGTATCAATAATTGACTTCAATTTGTTTTAACGAGAGAGAGAGAGAGAGAGAGAGCAAAACAAATTTTACCCATTTAAAATATCAATGGCATAAATTGCAACCCTATTAGCAAAATAGGCGTCACATTATATAACAAATCGGTTATTGCATAATAACGAAAGTGATCATCATTATAATAAATTCATACACTATTTATACGGCGGGCCAAACAATAATGATCATCATAAAAAAATATATACACTCATTTAATGGGTAACAAAAACTATACAGAAAAATAAATAAAATTGTCACATATTTTCTGATTCCGGGATTAAAAATATGTGTATATTTAGTAGTTTGTCAATTGTATTCACACATACTATGCATATACAGATTGTACATTATATATCACTATGCATTTAATACAATGCATTATATAATGGCGATACTATACACTAATATCCTATTATAATACATATATGACTGATATTCACCCCAATAAGGGCAGGGTAGGCAAGGAACCGGACACAATTGGCCATGGTCAATTAAAATTTGACCATAATAAATCACTGAAATATCGATTAATAAGGATAGTTTTATAATGTCTGTGATGAGCCCTAATACAGGGAGCTTGGAACATTAATAAGAAAAATGGATGTGGGTAATTGTCTAGTACATACCACTCCCGATGTTGCTCACCCCAGTGTGACGACAATCAGCACATGATAATTTGCTCGCGCGCTTTAAATAAAAATGGTCATAATTTATAATATGGGCTGTATTTTACGGATCCCCCCGTATTTTATGACACATTACTGCCAGACATTAGGCTATATTTAATAGAGAGTGAGTGAGAGATGAATAAAAATAAAATGTCTTTCATTTTTAGCTTTCATTTTTACGGCATATATTACTAGAGATTTTTTGTCGTTAATATTTCTCGCGTTTTATTTTTTGTGTGAATGAATTTTTATGGCATTTAATATGTAATACAAATGAATGATTTGATGAGGGGATCCGATGGAGGGGAGGGATGTGTAGGGGAGTGGGATGAGAGAGAGAGAGAGAGAGAGAGAGAGAGAGAGAGAGAGAGAGATGTGAATGGAATTGGTNGAGAGAGAGAGAGAGAGAGAGAGAGAGAGAGATGTGAATGGAATTGGTAGACGAGTGAACATTAAATGAGCAAAATTTGTTTCACTTAATTTATAAAACTTATTATGGATTGACTTTTATTTTCCATCTCTCTCTCTCTCTCTCTCTCTCTCTCTCTCTCATCCGTTGTGTCGACTATTATTATAATTTGTTCAGAAATTTTAACACAAAAGTGCTTTTAAAGTGAGAGGGAATATAACAAAGCAATACATTAATTGCATTTGTCTTAATGAATGCATTCAACTCTATTTAATCAATATTGAAAAATATTACATAACTTAATAATTCAAAAACCATGTTAATATATGTTGAATATGTTTTCACCTAGGACGTCGAGCACACTGGTGTTTATAGCATCTAGACACGATCACCTTGGTGACTTTTTCTGCAAGGGCTCCAATCAAGTGCTCCGCAGCCGTAATGAAGTGCCACTACTTCAGGGAACGCGACTACAAGTGCTCTGTAAGTACTCAATACATTCAATCATTACATACCTGTCCACAACATTACGGCGCGCGCTTAATTACCCCAATGCTATCACTATAGGTATTTTCAATTGTGGTGATATTGTAGTGGTAATTATGACACTTGCTTGTTTTAATGGCTCTCGATAGATTTATTTGTATATCTTATCGGGTATAATGAGTTTACATTATTTGTTTTTGCTATTTGTCAATATGTATGGTAAAATGTTGGATATTATTATTTTTAATGGTACAGGGTGAAAATTATTATAAAATATATAGTTGGTTTTACAATTGTTGAATAATTTTCTAATAAGATTTTCTATTATATTGGTTAACGGCATAATTGTTGAAAAAATATTAAATCATTTTGATAATTTTTTAAACTCTACAACAAACCAAATAAAGTAAATATTTATTGATATTTAAATAAATATATAGTTGTTTATTTTTTTGTTACAGTTTATAAGTTAATTGGCGAATCATAATAATTTATAAAAATTTGTGTACATTAAATTAATAATGTTGCAATAATTTAAATTATGAATGAGCATATATTTTTATTAAACTTACAATTATATAATTTTAAGCATAATTATAAAAAATTTTGGCGTGAATTTTAGACCAATCTACTGAATAATAAAGTAGTCTTTAAATAAACTTACTATGTTAATTTTTATAGTACAGTTTGTATAATATAAGATCTCTCTTACAGAATTGTGTTTATCATAAAAATTATAAAATTTATCCTGTTTATAATTATTTAATTTCAACTAAATATAAATTTAATTAGTAATATTATACAAATTATTAAATACAATAACGTGCAAAACATGTATAAATTAATGTTGCATGATAGTATTAGTAAAATAATTATAGTCATATAAAGTTATCGAAATAATATATTAATAAAAATTACTAATAAATTATATTATTATTGTTTTTATTATTACATTATTTTTATTAGCGATAATAAGCGTCAGAAAAACTTTTATGAGAGCAAAGCAAATATTATTGCTTTTTATGTAATTATAATAAATATGTTTAATATACCTACCGGTGCTCTCGCAGACAGACTAAGCCCATAGACACCGAGTGCTATCACATTGTTATTTTAACGATCAAGTTTGTTTTGTTAAGATTATTATATTAGGGTCATTATAACTATATAATATAATGGTCGAGCATTAAAAACCATGTGATAACCATTGCGATCACAAAATCATGAAGGTTTAATTGAATACAATTATTTGTCTGCTTATATTGGTACTTACTTTTTTAATAAACTGGGACATATTTTGCAATAATAATATAATAATCGATCTAGATCATTAAAAGTCTATTGTTAATATTTATTTATAATTTGATTTTCATTTACGGCCCAATATTATCGACAATCTAATACTTTCCAGTGATTATAATGATTACGATAAAACTTATTTATTTGCCACTATAATTTTACCATTATGGTTTTTTATAACAATGTGGAAAAATAAAAGTAAAAATAATATACCATTTCTTGTTAATTTTATTTTTTATCATCACAAAAACATCAAAACATCTAGATATAATTTTTTTTGATTTTCTCAGCCATATCTATAATATTAGTGATGTTTTCGCACTGGAAGTCAATAGTAATTAATAATAAATAATGTGTTTTTTGTTTTTATCTTATTGTTATTTTTATCTATCACTTTAAGTGCTAAATTAATGAATGACTTTTTTGATCTCGATAATGTATGATACACCATGGTAAATTTACTGTAAAGTTTGCGTTACATAAATACTCTGCTTTTAGTACAGGTTTGACTGTACTTATAGTGTGGTTTGACTGTAACACAACACTTATAGTTATTATATAATATGTTTTGGTGTGTAATAACTGTAATGTTATTTTTTGGCTCAACGTTTAGGATTTTGTGATTTGTTGGTCTCTCTCTCTCTCTCTCTCTCTCTCTCTCTCTC